TATTTGATAAAATAAAAAAAATACAAAAAAAAGAGAGTTATATTTTTAAGATTATTAGTTTTATTTTCATTTACAAAGAAAGAAAAGTTTCAAAAAATATAGTTTTATCTAGTTTAGAATATTTTTTTAAGTTAGAGGTTTGAGTGTAGTAATTTTACCTTATTTTTTTATTTATTTAGTAGTAACAGTATTTTATTCTAGTATTTTTTAATTCATCTTTTGTTTAAAAAAAAAAAAGTACAAAAAGAATTAAGAAGAGAACCAAACAAAAATTGCCACATGTCAAAAGATTCCTCTTATCTTTAGTAACAGATTTTGGCCTCACCTGCACACTCCACAGACGACACTCCACACAATTGAGAAAGATGCTTTCAACAATACACCCATATCCTAATTATTTATTCACTCCAATCAATGACCTGACAACTATAAATACATAAGGACCTAAAGCTAAGAGAACCTGGAGTGCCGCTGCCTTCTCCAGGAGGACGCTATCTGCCTTAACAAAAAAAACACCAGCGACCCCGATTAGATCTCTCGTTCTCAAATTCTTGGAAAACCCAGCCGCACCCTGCAAACAGAAGAAAAACAGAAATGAGAGAAGATTGAGAGAGTCCGCTTGAGGCGTTTGGAGTTGACGAGTCCGAGGTGCCGATCGAGGTCCGTTTGTGGCTTTTAGTTCTTGTTACTGCTTTGTCGTTTTTCGAACTTTCGTTGCTGCAATTGCGCATGTCATTCTTCAAACAGCAAATCAATTAAGGAATCATTTTTAAGGTCCATATTTTTTCTCCTTACTTTTACCATGCCTTTGGTGTTGATTATTATGTGATAGAATCACGTTTGAGGGGATTTGAATTCGTTACTTGGTTTTGAGTGAATCTATCTGGTTTAGACACGCTAGATTGCGGTTTGATTTGATTTTCTGATCATTGATTTGGTATTTGACTTCTTGGAGTTTTCCACATGAATATGTGGCCTATTTGGTTAATCTTCTTGTTTAAAATTCATTGTTTGAAGCCGTCCTAATTTGTTTGTTGATAAAAGATTGTTCGTGCCTCTTGAACAGGGTTTGAATTGATTGGTTTAATTTCATATTTTATAATTATGGTTGGTAAGTTATGCTTTTACTATTTTACCTACAGTGAGGTTTCCTTTGCTGGTT